TCCAGTATCTTTGCCAAGAAAACCCCAATGAGGAGTCAGACACAATTGAAACAATGAAACTGGATAGAAGCAGCAGCAAGGAGTATCTGGGTTGGGATTGTCAAACGTTCACACCCCACCTTTCTCAATGCAGGCTGCTTCAGCCACCTTTGCCTTCTTCTAATGAATGTGCTTCAATTTTGTAACTGTGAGATGGGCAACACTGTTCTTTTCAGGAAGGACACATGAATAATTCACTAAGGGCAGTAGTGATGGATGTACAAGACCAATCAACTAAAAAAAAAAAAAAAGTATTTCTCCAACACTGTGCTGGGCTGCATGCCCTACATAAGCTGTCAGAGCACTGCAATGTGACACATTTGTCTGAATTAAAGGAAATTTCCATTCCAGTCGCTCCCCGCCTGTGTGACAGCTGGCAAGGGAGAGATGTCATGCCTTCATTTCCATGGCCCGCAGCATTCCTGGGGAAGGCAGACAGGGGCCATCTAAGCCACATAGGCTCCCGCTTTAAAAAGCTGTCCGACTGCTTTCTCACCCAGACAACTGCCCTAAGGAGTAGCTTTGCAGTCTTCTTGGACAAAAGACCTGAGTACAGGAGAGGGCAGAGTCCCCCTCTCCCTATGTAGGGGTGGGGTGGGGGGCTAGAGCAAGGAAAATGGTAAGTAGGTAGTTATATGAAGTCACTGGACAACAGAAAGAAGACATCTGAATCACTGCCCTAGTTTCATCATGGGCTTAAGGTCACACAATTTTATTTAAATGAAAACAGTGAAGGGAAGCCAAAGCAGTATGACTAAGATGGCTAATCTTGTCTCTGGAGGAACTGATGGGGAAATTGACCTCCTTTATTTCTTTCAGAGGAGGAGGACTATGGGTGTGGGATGTTGCATAGACTGGCAGACTTGGGGCTCTTCTGGGGATAAGGCTGGACAGAGGGTATATCTGGAAATCCCTGATGTAAAAACAAAAGGCATCCATAATAGTAAACAATCAGAAACTCAGAGCCTACTCCTGAAAACCTGAGCTGTTTCCTCCATTTAATAAAACTCTTTTCCCAGTACAATTAAAAAAGCTTTTTTGTATTGAATTCTCCCATTTGATTTGCCTGAGGAAAATGAATTCACAAATTACCAGTGCGGGCCTCTGCTGGCATTTCAAACCTTCATAACCTTTCTAGACAATTAAACTTTATTCCTCCCCACCAACAGTCAACCTTCCTGTCAGCCTGGCCTTCTGGTTGCCCTCACACAAAACAGCTTTGTTTCTGCTCTGTGTCTTTGCACAGGCCTGGCAGGCACTTTCCCATGCTCTCTACTTTTGAGGCCCCTGGCTCCCCCACCCCATCCAGTCTTTCCAGATGCCCCCAGCCGTTGATGACACTCCTCCCACCCCCAAGTTTCCCAGCATTTACTTTGTGGGTCTCCATTTTTGCCTGGGAATCCCCAGTACCTAAGGTGCTTAATAAATATTTGTAGATTTAGACAAAGTTAAGAGTATGTCTTGGAGACGATGGGGAGAAAGCCGGATGGCCAGGGGAGTCCACCCCAACACCTGAGATTCTATGAATTAGCACGCTATTTCAAGGACCTGTGATTTTGTGGATATGGGCAGTCCCTCCACCTTTTCAGATGGCAACCCTCAGTACAAGAGGCTGAACAAGTAATCACTCTGTAGATAACCTTATTATGAGCCTCTTGGAATGGAGCTAGCCTGGCCTTTGGACGACACACACACATCCATACATGGTCCATTAATGGGACCGAACTCAGCCTTTCCAGCTTTACTGAACCTGAAGGCATAGCCTTTGAAAACCAAGAACATGATGTGCTATTAGAGGCCTTTAATGGGGTTTCTCCAAGATGGGCATAAAAATATCCACCCTGCCTATTACACAGGGTTGCTGGTAGTTTCTAGCTGATGTGATTGGTGAGGTTTCTAGTTACTGGGAACCACATTAGCTAAGGGTGATGGGGACAGGGTGGCATTTGAACTTTTGACTTAAGGGTTCGGGGAGGGTTCAGAAACCAGACCCAGGGAAGCAGTCAACCAACTCCTTGGCCTTGTACCTTCTCAGTCCCTCCACTGAAGGCCCCGAGGGAACAGAGATGGCTCAGGAATCCTGAAACCTCTTTGGCAGAAAGACAGAGGTCACAGAACTGGGGACAGAGAAGAAATTGTGGCTGAGCTCAAGGCAGCACCATAATGTACTGATCCCCGGTCAAGGCCACTCCCTGTTGGACAACCTTCTAACTCATTTCTGAGATGGCGGCCTCTTGGGCTAACTGGAGGGGGTGGCGGTTGTGGGGGAAGGGCTTCATTCCCTCTCAACCTAAGCTGCTATGGGAAGAGAGATTACAGTGCTTCCCTCAAGTTAATAGTTAAGAAACAATTTAACAGATGGAGCCAATCCAAATGCTGCCTGGCCACATGTACACACTTTTCTAAACATCTACATTGAGCAAGCGATGGAAAAACAAACAGGGACTTCCTGTCCTAAGTAAAAAGGAACAATAATTGTGCAGATAACGAAAGCACTGAAGGCAGAACTGTGAGCATATGTCACACACAGAAGTCATGACTGCCTCCTAACAAGTTTCTCAGTGAACACAATTAACCACACGTGGGTCTGAGGCAGCAGGTCACAGGACCCCCTGACACGCTTCAGAATCGAGGACCCCAAAGAGCTCTAGTTCACATCATCAGAGCTGTCAGTGTTTACCATACTAGAACTTAAAACAGCTTATGTTAGAAAAATAGTTTTGACCTCATGGACCCCCCTGGAAGGGTCTCAAGCATTTTGGACTATATGTTGAGAACCAGTGGTCTACAGAAACAGTCGAATGGGATGGAGCCTTTTCTGAGAGAAGCATGAAAGAAATTGCTGTCCAGCCTGGGTGGGTGGCTTCAGGCTGATCCTCAAGGCCTGGAGCTGAGGCAGTGTGGAAACGGAATGGGGCATCCTTTGTAGGAGTCTATCCCGCCGCTCCCCCCACCCCCCAGAAGAGGATTCAGAAATTTTAGTTTTTCAAAGAGAAACATCAGAACCAGGAAAACGGATCTGCAAAAACAAAGCATAAACTCAGGTGAGGGTTTTCTTATTTTCAGTGTCTCAACAGTTTTCAAATATCACCAAACTTGCCAGCTGGCTGACGTCAGGACACTAGGGTGCCACCCTGGGGCAACAGAACTTTAATGCTGGGGAAAAGCAGCAATGGGGGGGGGTGTTCTTTGCCCAGTGAGCCCTTCCCAAAGGTGCACAAAGATCTGACTTTTGTGAATAGTTGAGATGCAGCAGGGCATGGGGCCCAGGCCAGGCCCTCCCTTTGTGCAGGCAAGCAGTAATCCAGACTTGACCACACCCCTAGCCTCTGGATGACATTATTCTAATTTCTTTTGAGTCAGGACTTCCCCGGGAATCAGCACTCTTCTCGTCATTCTTCTCGTCCGTATGGCAACTCCCTTCAAGAGGCGATTGAGCCTGATTTAAAAAACCCTATTGACCCGCCTGACACAGCAAAAAATCTTTTGGAAACACGTTTTCCTGTCTGGCCATGGAGGGGTCAGAGTGCTTGTCCTCTGTCTGTGTCTGTGTAGGAGACCAAAAGGCAAGGAAACTGGGGTAGTTCCCAAGGACCAAAGTAGGTCTAAGACGGTCATATCTTCGCAGGGCCCTGAATGTTACCCAGCACAGTACCAAGGCCCAGCACACAGGAAGGCTTAATGAAAGCTTACTGAGTGAGGATGGTGGGCAGCCGCAGAACAAGCTCAGGTTAGCAAAGCCTGCAGCAGACGCAGGAAAAACAAGTTTTCATTCATTTGTGTGGTTTTTAAAGGGAGCATGCAGCAGAAAAAAAAAACCAGACCAAAAAATGGACCATGACGAGAGGAAAATGAGTTTCTAAACGCTGGCCAGGGGACGTCCTGCAAAGTGCTGTGGTCAGTTCTGTTCTGGTTTCTTGGGAAAAGAACAAAGCAGTCCCAGGGACAAAATGGCTGCCCCTCCCCCGCCTGCCCATAAATCCTACCAGATGCCCTGCGTGCACTCAGGCCAGTGTCTACTCTCCTAAGGAAGGAGAAGACAGACTCTTTGCCCTTTTCTCCCACTGGCTGTTCCCCCAGTCCAGCCCAGTAACAGAATGTTTCCTTCATGCTGTTTACAGATGGAACCTCCAGCCAGCCCTCGGCCCTGACCTTTTGGGCTCTGGTTTTCTCCATCCCTGATGCTCCCTCCCTCCAGTCCGGGTCCCCCAGCTGGGTCCTGGCTGCAGCTGCTGGTCCCTGGCACCTTCTTCACCTGCTGAGGCAGGGGGGACCTTTTTCAAAGGCCACCATCATAGTGCTCCAGGTCTTCAGATGAATCTGCTCACCTCCATCTACTGTGTTATTCTTTTTCCAATGGGAACCATTTTCTAAAAAGCCTTCAGAGCCCAACAACCCTGGGATCCCCCATCCCCCAAGTCCTCCTGGATTCCACACACACACACACACACACACACACACACACACACACACACACAC